CGTGCGCGAAGTGGTCGGGCGCGTTTCGCGTGAGACATCCTCGCAACTGCAGGGCAGAAGACACGCACAGAGAGGTAATCGGCTGGAAGGGGGGATGAGCACTCGCCCAGCCCCTCCCTGTTTCGTTCCACTTGCCCTCGGCGCGGTCCTCCACTCCGCCCGCGCAGCGGGCCTAGGAACAGCTTTCAGGGCTTCAATTTTCTGTAGCATCCTTTGCCCGACCCCGTCCACCCCCAAGCGAAAGCACAGACTGTGCAACCCCTGGAGGCGATGGGCGAGGCGTCGGTGAACAAGGCGACGATCTTCGGATCAAGCCATCTGGGGATGGATCCAAACAAGGGGGGACCTAACAAACTGTTGAACAAAACTTGTGTTTTTCTGTCCCTTTCAGCTCTGGGTTCTGAAATGCCGCGCCAGAGGTGTCTGGCCTGTTTCGCCTGAAACATCCTCGAAACTCTGGGCCCCGAGAGAAAGAAGAGAGGAGCGACTCCGCAATGCCAGGGATGCCTTCGCACCCTCGATGCCCGTTCCAGGAGGCACCCTCGCCAGAGATGCCCTCAAACAGATAGCGTTTGGGCCTGGTCCGTCTCCCTCCTCCAGTATGTCTTGTTCCTCCTCCCTTTCTCCTCCCCCATCCTGCCTCTTGCCTGCTCGCCGCGCTCTCGCTCGAGGCATCTCCACAATATGCTCCAGCATGACTCCCCCCTGATCAGCACGTGCAATGTAGAATTGTGCTGGCGCGTCGGCGCCGGCTACTCCGAGTGCGGCTCCGATGCGCTGATGAAGCTTAAAAACCCCTCTAGAGATTGTAGCCCGTAGCGTGGCGACCTGGTCGTCGCAGGCTTTGGAAGTGATCATAGAGTTCACCACTGAAGGTCCCACCAAGAAACCAACTCCAGCGTACGTGCGGTGTTGCACATCAAGGCTGCCAGATAATAACGAGTTATAGCCATGCTTACTGCAATACTCGGCCCCATGCGAACGCACCTCCTGAACACATGAGACGTCAATGTTGTTGCTGTGCATCGCGTGCAGGAGCTCTTCTAGCTCGACCAACGAATCGCCGCGCAAGCCTTCAACGTTCCAAGTCGCTACGCGTCGGACGCGACCTGGCGTGCAGAGTCGACGATGTCGGTGCCACGTGGAGGAGGATGGGGAAATCGAGGAAGCAGGCGAAACATCGGAATACCCAGCGCCTGCGCAAAATTGACCAGTAGCAGTAGCTTTGCCCATTCCCGGATACATGGAGGCAGCTGCCAGAAATCAGAAGCACACAATATCAAACAGGCAGCTGCTGATGGAAACGTGTGGTTCGTATGATTTGGTTGTAGCGAACACGTTTTTGGACCATCCAGACTGTATGAATATCACTTCCAGAACATTGGAAACAACCCCATGGACCCCGACATCTCTACAACACAATTTTCGCCGATCGGTCATGTACTATGCCACCGAAACATGTTTTCTACGATCCGAGATTGGTGGACTGCGCGGGAGGTTTCCTTGAGCAAGCGTCATCTTCTGACCATGGCAAAAAACAACATCGAGTTCGAGAAGCAACAAGGCCATCGTCAACGCCAATGCACATCGACAACACCTCGCTGAAGGACGAGCGCGTTCAAAAGAAATAGGGCGGCTAATTGATGAAAACCGCGACGTGAAATCCTTATGCAGAGGACCTGGACACCGCAGCCGAGAACTTTCATCAAATTGTCTCCCATGTTGCTGCCGCCATGCCGGCCAGAAGTGTTCGGGCCAAACGGCCCTGGACCAGAAGACCGGACCACATGGCGAACGAACCTTGCGGCGAGTGGCGGTTAGGATGCAGTGCAATACTTACGGAATCCGAGAAGGAATGCAGCACACAAGTCTACAGCGCCCAGATGGCACTGTATCAGACACTCCTGAAAGACCGGATATTTTGGCAGAATACTTTGAATCCGCGCAGTGGGAATACAAGTTAACCGATCACCACCCAAGCAAACAAGCACCACTTGGCGACAAACTTCCAGTCCACATGGGGGCATTCACCATGCAAGAGTTCCTGAAGGTGATCCACAAGCTGAAGAAAGGTAAGGCCACTGGACATGACGACACACGTTCTGACTTTTGGAAGGATTTGGCTTCCGACGAGGCTGCGAGCGACATGCTCTTCAATGTATTCCAATAATGTTGAGCGCAAAAGGCAACCCCCGAATCCTGGAAGAAGCAAACGTTGCACTACTTTGCAACAACAAATGATACCGCTTTGCCGGCGAAGTACAGGCCGACATCCCTACTGCTGGTTGGGCATAAGTTAAGGGCAGCAATACTACACAAACGACTAGCTCGAGGAACTGCAGAAACACGAATCAGAGATTCGCAGGCTGGGTTCCGGCCGCGCCCTGGCATAGGCGACGCGCTCAAGCTAAAACGCCGTATGATCGATGTAGGCCCACTAGCGCGACAATGGCAGTCTGATATCACTGTTGCTGGATTGGGCGAAAGCCTTCGATACGTATATTAACACCAGACTGTATGTTTGATGCCTTAGAACGCTTTGACCTGCCAAATGGTATGGTGGAACTGGTACGCTCGATCTACTCCGCAAGATGCTTCACCATCGTAGATCACGCCAGCCACTGAACGACTACAACGCGCAGGGATTGCCCAAGGCGGCCCGCTCCCGCCGTATCTCTTCAGCATCGTACAAACTTTAATGCTGCATGATGTATACGGCACTCTTGAGCTAATTCCAGAGCCAGATTGCGTGATTACAAATGACAAACGATATGAGATACGCTGGTGATACATCGTTGGTGTCTCATCACTGTTCTAACTTGCAGCATATGCTGGCAGCACTCATGGGGGAAAGTAGGAAGTCAGGCCTGGAACTTAATTGGGGAAAAGACGGTGCAAAAACACATTTCCACAGACCGGGCGATGACATTACCAAGTGGTGAGCATTTAGAAACAACGAGGGAAATCATATATTTGGGTGGTCTGATTCCGTGCGATGGGAAAGTGGCAACTGAACTAAACAGTCGACCTGGCGAAGCTAATCGTAAATTTAAGCAGTTGCACCGGATATGGAGCCAGACTTCAGTTGGAAAGATATGGAAAATCATAATATATCGAAGATGTATCATGAGCAAGCTCTTGCACTCTTTAGATTCTGTTTGGATTCTGAAGGCAGGCCGTGCGCGTTTAGATGCCTTCCACTGCACATGCTTACGTCGTTTGCAAGGAATTACTCCGTTTCTCGTTTCACGAAAGAGCAACGCAATAATGCTGCAAAAAGCACCCGGCCAACCTGTCGAAGATCTTGCTTGCCAGGCAGGTTGCGACTTTGGGCTGCCCAGCGTTTGTCAAAGCCAATTTTTGTAATGACGCTGGGGCCCCCAAGAGATGGCCTGAGCGCCGAAAGAGCGGCCGCCCCCGCCAGCAGTGGGCGAGTCAGGTGTACAAGTTGTCTCAGCATGTGCAGCAACTATGCCCCTCCCCTCTCCTCCGCCTTTCCTCCTCCTCCTCCTCCAGCTCCCCCTCCGTCTCCCTTCTCTCTGAATTCCAGTGCCGTGATGCGGTTTGTTTTCTGCTTCAAAGTCGTGATGTCCCCTGTTGCTCCGCGTCACAGCCGTGAGGCATTCCGCTTCTGCTTCGCAATCGCGTTTCCTTGCGCACGCAGTCGCTCTGCAATGCCTTTTCTGTCACATGTTCTGGAAGAGTTGCCAATCGCGCGCTCTCCTGCCCATGCGTCCCTCCGAACGATCAACTCAGTGGTGGTGGCTGTCAATTTTGAATCGCTTGGCTGTTTTAACTCGCATGGCCGTTTGGACTGGCCTGGTAGTTTTAACCCGCTAATCCATGACGGAATCGCCGTAGTGGACATGACCGAAACCATGACGCGTTGACAAGATCGCATGGTTGTGGAGATGTCCTTATCGCCATTTTTAGCAGGAGCGATGTCGACAACATGTCATTTGTGCGAGGATGCCCCTAGCAAAATCGCCATTAGGGGCAAGACCGAAACCAACGCAACGTCGACAACTTGTCATCCTTATGAGGATGTCCATCGTGAAATAGTCACTTGCTGGTCGAAAGTAGGGCGTGCTAACGCTATATGTTGGGCTATGGTGGGCCGTCTTGAGGCCTTCCGAGAGCGATCCCAAGGTATCACATGTGTTATAGTGTCCTTAGCGAACTTGCCATTTTGGCCATTCGATCACTGGGGCAACACATGCCATCACCCTCCAACTCTCCCTAGTGCTGCTTCTTCGGGCCAACGTTTGGCACACTATGTGCGCTTTCCGTCGCCCGCCGCGCCCTTCACCTGCAAGGGGTGCTTGGCGTGCCGCATTCGATAATTAGCTGTGTTTGGTCATTTCAGGTAGCTTCGGCTCCACCCGCCAGGGCCACCAGGGCGCACGAAGCCTTGGAAATGGCACAACTCCCGCCTCTCTGGCGCCCACAGTGGCCTCCCGTGGCGCCCTTTCTGGCCCCAGATGGGTCCAGAGATCTCCACGATGCCTCTTATTTGGCCCAAGATGGTCTCTAAGAGTGTCCAGGGCGCTCTCTCGGGAGTCTCCTGGGTCGTCTTGGGGGGCGTGCGAGGCCTGTCCATGAGGTTCAATGGATGGAAACACAAGCATGTTTCAACGATGTCCTGCGTCTCTCCTTTTCAAATTTCCGAGCGTCCATGACGGCCACAGAGGGCCCAGCCCGAGACTGGCACAAGATGGCCCAGCAGGGCCCCAAGAGGACCTCAACACGGCCCAAAGGACCCCGCCCTGGACAGTCGTGGGCCATATTGGGCCGAATGGGAGGCCTGGGCACCTTGGCCGTCTTGGAGGCGGGCGTTGTGCAGGTGTTGGTCCTTTTGCTGGCCTCTGCCAGCCGAAGGGCGCCTCGAAGGCGGACCAACCAGGCCCCACGAGTGCCCAAGCAGGCCCCACGAGACCCCCGAGAGGGCCCAAGGCGGCCTGGACAGAGCCTCAAAACAAACCCACAACCCCAGTGACGGCCTCCGAGGGTCTCTCTTTGGGAGCCGATTCGAGATGCTTCCCGAAGCGTCTTCTGCGCAGACCATCGGCCCCCAGCGCTCTGCCTGTCCACACGAACAGGGAGCGGCGGCCACTCTCGGAAGGCGTCTTCGAGAGGCAGCGCCGCAGGACAAAGTGCTCATTCTGGTAGGCTCGAGAGGCGGTCGGTGATGCTCACAGTTGGGAGCGCATGCTCTTTTGCCTCTTGAGCCAGCACCACCGCGAGCCGATGGAGAAGGAGCATGAGGAGGCAATCAGGGAAGCGGCGTGCCACACGGACTGCGGCATACGAGAGCATGCGCTCCTTATCCGAAAACTTGCGCTGACGAGCAAAGGCCCGCGAGCCCGTTACATGCAGGGAAAAAAGGATAATCAAGACCCGAGCAGTTTGTCGCTCGCAGTCACTTTGCCCTCAGCGAGCGCAGAACATATGTTCAAGAGCTTGCCCGCATCGAGCCCGGCCCGACCGACCACAAAACCGTTGTTGTCGGCCAGAGCGGCGTAAGATGCCGCGTTCGCCTCGTTGACCGAGCCAGTGTAAGCCATCCTCACAGCCTGCGCTGCAGCCTTACCCACATTGTCGGCAACCCAGCATCGCAGCATTGCCAAGACCCGCTGCGCCTCCTCAGGGCTGCAAGGCTGCGCGCCATCACCCACGGCCCAAACGGGCTCGTAGGCGACACAGAGCTTGCCCCAGGAGTCTTTGGAGATCCCCGCAGCTGCTGCGCTGAGCTGGCCAACGAGGCTTTCGTCTGCCTTGCCCGCCTCGCGGGCCTCGGCGGTATCACCGACAGTCAGGTTGACGTGGAGGCCAACCTCCAGACACTTAGCCACCTTCGCCGCGATGAGCTCATCAGTCTCGCCCAGGACGTGA